ATTCTGGTTCATAAAAAGGTTTGTCACAAACACACACAGAGAAATGGCAAAAACATTAAAATGTTCAGACTAATCACATTTAAAATTCAAACACATCAAAAACACAATCAAGACAAAAAGCTGACAAACGTAGGTTTAACACAAAATGACAAAGAACAGAAAAAACATTTCATGCCATGTGACACTTAAAACTAAACGCACGATATGTTTTACGAGTGTTTTATAGTTGTGTGAGAAATAAAATAACCAAAAACACAAAAATCCACCAGCTATGTAGAAAAGCTTGTTTTATATTCCCTAAACTTAATAACTGCAATAAAACAACCAAACCCAGCTTCCTTTTTTTTTTCTCTTCTTTTTAAATGAGGAAGTCGGTGCCCACAGAGGAGACAACAAAACCCTCCAAATGTTATGACTTGCAACAAATCACAGTTTTCCTGGACTGTTTCTCTGCCTGCAGCTGTTGAGCCGAATCACTGGATTCAACCACAAATCAGAGTTCAAACTCACAGCTGAGAGAGAAAAAACTCTACATGAGTTTATTTTATGGCCTCAATTATTGATCTCCTGAACAGACTTTTTTATTTTAAAACACATGATTAATCCAAATGGGGGAAAGAGGCGAAATCGTCATGCTTTGTTTTGTATATTAAGGCCTGTTTTAAAAATGAAAGGTTCATTTCTTTGCTCCTCAATTAAGGAAAAAGGGCAGTAATGTTTTTGCTCGTGTCTATGCATTCATTTGTGTGTTGTGTCAGCAAAATATCTCATGAACAAATGAGTGGATTTGAAGGAAGCATTTGAAAATAAATCGTTGGATGTTGATTTATRACTGATTAACTTTTGAGGTCAACTTGATTCAAGATGGCAGAATGGTTATACCTCAGTCAGTTTTRTAGACGTTGAGCTGAGATTTGGCATGGTAGCTGAGGGTTCCCAACACACTTCAAGTTCTCTTCAGCGAGCAACGTCTTGGCTTAGAACTTCGGCATTACCTGCTGTTGGCGTTAAATTAAATAAAAACCACTGCAGCGCCTTTAAAATAGGTACAAATGTAAAAAAAATACAGCATGAGCTTTGCAAACGTGTCTAAATTTAGCAGCTTTGTTTTGAAATTTYTGCATCTGTGATTCGTTGAAAAAACACTTGTAAAACGTGTAAAATCTTACTTTAAAAATAGGATTTGTTTCATCGCAGTATCTCTAAATTTATCCCTTTATTTTCCCTCTTCTGCACTCCCAGTAAGGACAAATTGTTTAGACACCCACACGGAATGTGGAAAGCTCATTGCCAAGGGGACACAAGAAAACAAGCACTTATCAAAGTCTGGAAAAAAAAAAAAGGAGCCTCGACATTTTCAACATTCCTTTTGTTTTCTGACTAAAACTGAGCTTTCAAAATGTCATCTTGTGGAATTCGAGAGGAAAACAGATTTAAAATATAGATGAGGTCAATTTTAAGGTTAAACCCACGAGTCCTTTWCTGGATCTCCCAAACAAAGTGTATAATCTCAGGAAAAAAAAAACAACAGATCTGAGGACGGAGTGGAGAAAAACGATGAGCGGAAGCCTTTTTTTCCCCCGTGTTTGACTCTCATGTAGCAGCCTTGATCTGCTTCTTCTCACACTAAAGATCTGGGTGTCAATTAACATTCCGACTCCTGGCCTGACAGGGTGCCATAAATCACTTATGCCTCGGCTCATGTGGTCGGCCTCTTTTATTTCTACAGTGAAGGCATAATGACAAGTTACAGAAAGTGAGCGGGGGCTCGGCCAYGGCCCTCTCTGTGCTTCTCACCGGCTCACGCCGCTGCAGCTGTCGACCCCGTTTTACTCGCAGGGAGCATCGGGTTCCATCAGACCTGTTGGGGAAAGGTGAGAGGCGCGCGGGCCGAGATGCATCACAGGCGGTTCTTTTGTCGTCACCTGAAACCCTCTGATTGAAGTGGGGACGGATATTTCTTTCATTAAGTGTAGCAATACCACAAAATACCTCACAAGCCAAAATTCTACCTTCACCTTTTGGCACCGGGCGATAAAAACTGACAACTCAAGATGCTCATAACAGATATCTTCTCCTTCATTTGACTCCTGCTTTTCCCTTCGACGCGTTCTTCTAAATATAATGACAGATAATGCATCTCTGACCACTAAATGTTCCCAAGTAGATTTCTAATAGGCACCAAATCCCCACAGGCCTCCCTCTGAGCTCTGCGTGCCGCTCCAGTTGGACGTGTGCAGCCGAAAACCCTGATGTTCGAGCCGCAAGTCTTAAAATTCTCCAAACTGTAGAACAGTTTGCCTGGAAGGATGAGTCTGACTGCAGCTACAACAGACATGCTGCTCGTTTCTCTTGGTTCGTTTAAACCTATTTGTGCACAGCTCTGAAACCTAATTAAAGTTGGCAATGCAAAAGATTTGAAACTCTCATTTGATTCTATCCAGTGGTGGGCAGCACTAATCTAAAAATTAGTTCCACTAGCCCTGAAACATTAACTCAAATATTTAGGCCCCCTAATTCTAAAGCAATAATGCACAGAACGTTTTAGCAAAAGCTAATTCTAAAGCACTAAAATAACCCAGTCAACCCATGAGCATTCTTCAACATGAGTCACATGTTGCCATGTTGCTCTCTTAAGCCTTATCGCTGACATCCCACAGCCGTTTTTGTGGTATTGACAATATATTGTCAATATATTGTCACCTGGTGGATAAGTGACACACATATGAACAAAATGTGACAGCTTTCACCCTCAGCTGTAAACATTAACATTGATCAATAACATTTAAAGACCTCAGTTAGTGCTTCTAAATTTAGCCTATAAATTTAGCAATTGGTAATCCACTAATAAATTTTAAATTTAGCAAAAGCCCCAAGGCACTAATCAGGAAATTAGTTCCCCTATTAGTGCTTTAGGGGATCTGTGCCCACCACTGATTCTATATTTCTGTATCTTTGAAATAAAACAGAAATTATGCATCAAAATCTTCATCTCATTTGGGAAAAATGTGCTATGACCTTCGGTAACAGCATGTTGTACAATGTAGGCAAACATCCATCCATCCATTATCTGCCGATTGTTTCACTTGGGTCGTGCTCTAATAATTTTAATCTTATAATTTCTTTTTGTTTTAAAATGACACTTGTATTTGAAGTCTTAAAGATGTTCCTAAAGTGTACCAAAGGTAAAAAACCTGTGTTTTTGTCTCACACTGACATCTTCTGACAGCTGAAATAACTGCAGGATAGGTTGACCTCAAACTGTTGTCAAATAACTACTTACTTAGCACAAAAAAATAAGGAAATTTGTGTTTGGTAGATTATTTCTTTGCTGTAACAATGCTTAAATCTTACGATTGGCACCTGGGGGTATCAGAAACTCAAAACAAGCGTCAATAACAGCAGAATAAGCTGTTTGGCAGAGAAGATTTGGCAATTTTTTTTCATAACTGCAACCCACATACTCAGCTCTACTGCTCATCCCACAAACGCATGTTCCTTACAAATGTGGCACCATTTAAAAAGGAAATTAACATCCAAAGGTGTAAGATTCTTTTCAAAGAAGCATTGTTACAACAAATGTCCGTACTTTCTGTGTTAAGCTTATATTTTTGAAACTGATGGTAAATGTTGTAGAATGTAGAGGTGTTAAATATTAATTTACTGAGCAGAATGTAGACTTTTAGATTGTAATTATAATTAATTTTGAAAAAAGGGGGCAGATATAAGATTTTTTCTTGTGTCTCCTTTCATTTTAATTGTGTTTTGTATGTTTTTAAAAGAAATGAATAAATGAAATAAACCATAAACAGTAATACAGAAATTTGTTCATCTTTTTAAAAATTCTGAATAAAACCCCCACAAAAAAACAGAGGTATGGACCATTTAATGATCTTCCGAAGTAAGTTAAACAACCATTTATGTTACAGTTTTAAAATGTCCTCATGGAGGAACAGCAAAATACACTCAAAATGATGATTGATCAAAAGACATTTCCTTTCTTTTTAATCAATGTTTTAAGACTGTTCTTTTTTTTCTTTTTTTCCTCATTTGTATATCAAAAATTATAAGTGCCTTCAACATCACTTGTAAGCATCTTCAGCCTGCAGTCAGAGAAATATTTACACCACAAAACTTACAAACCTGTTTTCTTTTTTGTACTTTCAGCATCGGTTTCACACACCTCATCCCTCCCATCTCTGACAGACGGATTTGTTTTGTTGCACAAAAACAACGAAAAGAAAAACACCCTGAAGAAAGGTGACTGTAAATGTGGAGACAGGGGRTGGGTGGGGACATAGGAGAGCACAGATTAAGGACATCAGTATTTACAGCTTGGCTTCGAGGACACAGTTAAAAAGAAGAGATGGAGACAGACGAAGAACATCCATTAGCGGTGTGGCGTCAAGTTTAAATCACATTCTTGGCCTTCATGATCCCACTTTACCCTTTAGGATTAAAAAAAAAAACATAAAACATGCTGTTAAACATCGGACACAACAAGCGGCATCAATGACTGAAATATGCAGTCTTCAATTTTAAAAATAAATAAAGTTCAACAACAGGGGGCAGTATAGGATCAGACGTGGGAATGACAAGAAACACCTAATGATACAAAAGTCCCTTCAAACAAAAGTAGCTTCATTGTGTAAAAAGCTCTGTAGTAACAAAATCATTCTGAAAAACAAAACAAAATAAGAAAATCAGGTGTGCCTCTGGATGGCAAAATACAAAATCAAATATCAAAAAATGTTCTGATCACATGTAATTTAACAAACATGAACATGTTAAACATTTACAACACAAACAAAAATAACAATAAAACATTTTGGCACGCTTTTTTTCCTCTCTTTGAAAATGTCTTTCCCACTTTTTAAACATTCATTCCCTGTCCAAGGTAAAAACAAAAGAGGAAAAACAATTTAAAAAAATACAAGAAACAGAAAGTTAAACAAAAACTCATAAATTGTCTTGTAAAATAATTTGCTTGGTCTCTCCACTTTGCTTCGGTCTTTTTTTTTAAATATTTATAATATTTACAATTTCACAATGTCCACAATACCTTTAGGTTTAAAGATGCAAACAAAAATAAAGAAATTAAATAGTCCTTTTTTTTAAACTGTCCCCTATTGAGGCATTGAGTGTAAAATGTACAACTCGAGTTCCTGGGGCAGGGAACAGTTTGCAATGGAGTCCGCAGATGACGTAGAAACTTGCAGATGGTGAAGCAAGAAAAGCATTTGATTGCTCAAGATGAAATGATTCTTGATCCTTTTATAGGCAATAATTTTCTTTAGCACGAGCATGACTGATCACCAGGATAAATCCATGACATGTTTCAGTTTATACTCAAAATCTGTACAGAGTTCACAATTTCTTTTAAACATAGTGCAATGACTTTTCACATCGTCTCAAAAAAAAAGAGAATCACAATCACTTTTATGAAGGTAAAAAATGTCCTATTAAGAAGGTCCCCATCCGCAGCTTCATGAAGGTTATGATTTATAAAAAGCTATGAACACCTTCAAAAATGGCAAAAACAAAAAATAAAAACCGCAATCTGCAATGATCATCAAAAAACCCCCCATTGAAGCCTTCACATCTTGTTTAAAAAGGTAGTTTTTGGAATTCATCATCACTGGGTGATTTAAGGACTCGGTGAAGTGAAAAAGAGAAAAAAAGGTGAATCCAACATGAATGAGAGGTTTTTGTTTTATAAAGTCAAACTCATAAAAATGAGGCAATTCCAGTTTGGAAACTGGTATAGATTTCAAAAAGGGCTGGTGTTGGCTTTTGTTTACAACAAAAATAGAGGTAATCAAACAGAGGCAATAACAATCATGAGGTGAGGGGAAATGCTGGAGATGCTGTTTAGAAGGTCCGGGGCTAGGCGAGAAAGATGGCTCTCCGAGAATTCACACGGTGGGAATATTTGCACCACGTAAGCTGGCTGTAAAAAAAAAAAAAGGGGGGGGGGGGGGGGGATAGCATAAAAATTAAAAACAATTCAATGGTAAAGCATTTTGTGCTAATAGAACATAACAACAGTTCAAAGACCACAAACCTGGTTCGAGCCAGGGTTGGGCACGTTGATGATGCCAGCTGCCTGTTTGGCTTGCAGGTAGGTGATGAAGCCACTTTTCAAGGCTTGGGTTTGACCAAGGACATCTTCTTGGTCTCGACCACAGGGTAGAGCCAGTAGCAAGCAGTAGTCATTTTCCATCTGCCATAGATAGGTTGTTTTATTTTATTTTTGTAAATGTAAAACCACAATCCTAAAGCAAAATATCTGCACTGAAATTTAAGGATTTGTGCTAAAATAAGCATAAATTATGCACCTTTTTATTAAATATTCAAGGAAACCCATTCTAAGGCCCAGTTTTCATCAGAGAGGATAAAAATTGAAATACTTACAGTCATTCTGCGTGCTACACTGTCCAACTGGGAAGCCTCAAGCCTCATCCTCTGGACAATACGAAGAAGAGAACCTCCCTCTGGGGGCGGCAAGGAGCGTTGAGCGAGCACGGTGTTGCCAGACACAAAGTGCAACTGGACAGCAGCCTGGTCATTTTTCAGTGCCAGGAGGCCTTGCCACACTATAGGATATTTCTGCCAAAACAGAGTGGGAAGCATTTGTTTATGTATAGACCTCAAAATTATTTCCATGTATGTGCTGATGTCATTCCATTTACCGTCATTAGTTGCACCATGTCAATAGACCGATGTCCTGAATGGTCCAGTTTGGCATCATGCCGCGATTGTTGAGAACTTGATTGGGAAGCTTTTGGTGGAGGAGTAAGGTGGAAAGCTGGGGGGCCTTTCTGTAGAGACAGATCTGACTTGTGAGTGAGACCCATAGGGGACATCAAGGGAGACTGGTACGAAGGCGAGATCGTTTCTCCTGATATTCGGGAGATGTGGGAGGGCTCTGAAGAGGTAGCATGACGAAGATGAGAGGTCTCTGGTGTGGAGTCACTTCCTGCACCAAGTGACTGAGATATTTTACCTCTGTTACCCAGTTCCTGCTCTGATTGGGCCTGAATAAAACAATCAAACAATAAAATCATTAAAAAGTCATTTTGTACATGTTTAATACTGACCATTAAATTATGAAGTTACCTGTAAAGATGTAATGCCTGGGTTAGGCAAGTTGTGTCCTGGAAACTGGGATGGGAAACCTCTCATGTCTCGATACACCGGGAAGGAGCCTGCTCCTCCTGGATGCATCAGCTGAATCCCATGAGGGTGAGAAGACATCATGATGGGACTTGATGTAGGGACTCCTCTGATTCGATTTTCACTGGAGGTTGGATGCATGACCTTTCCTTCAAGTGGTTTGAGAGGCTCATTTGCTGAAAGGTCAATACTTTTTCCTAGTAAAGGACTTTTTGCAGGTCCAGAAATGTTGCTTGAAGATGTTGCTTGAGTCTCTGATGTGCGCAGCTGTCTTGCTTCCAAAGAGGCCTGCTCTCCTAGTTTCTGGTGCATGAGCATGCGCTGGTGCATGTCTCTGTACTGATCCATACGTATGCTTGGATGAAGCCCTCTGGGATCACCGTGAACCATCATTACATCCGACTGAAGATGGGTAAGCGAAGGTCTACCAAGTGTGTGATTAAAGTGTTTGGGTTCTTCTTCACTTGCACTGCTGCCACCACTACCTGATATTGATGCTTTAGGACTTGAATGAGACTGCAATACAATATCTCGAATGACATTGGGCTGTGGTGGGTTTGAGCACTTTGCTGACCCTGGATGTTGTGAAGACAAGGAGTCTCCTCGCCTTCCATAATTTATTCCAGTTATAGGTGAGTTATTCATTCTGGTTTCATGAGTTTTTGACTGAGTGACACTGTGAGGCTGAATTATGACAGAGGACTGTTCTGGGTGTGGGTGATGCACACTAGAATGGTATGAAGACATTGAGGGAATGCCATGACTAAGAACAGAAGTTCCAATGGGAGAGCTGCTTGGCGGACAGGCTTTGACAAAAGGTGAAGATGAATGACCAGCTATTCGTGGAGACTGCGGTTCCTGCTTGAGGTGTAGAGCTGATCGATCATTTGTGATGCCAGGACTAGGACTCATGCGTGTTCCTGTTATTGATGGGTGGTGTGGACTCATAACTGGACTTAAGTTAGACTGCTGAACAGCTTTGCTGATGTCCGTCTTTTTTGGCAATGGGTCTGTCACTAGTCCTCTCTTGCTGCGTTGTTGAATCACAGCCTGGTTGTACATCAAAACTTGAGGGGAACTAACTGGTGGTTGGAACATCTTTACCACACTCTGAGAAGATGTATGATAGGGAGCTTCGGATTTGTCACATCCAAGACCTTCTTGTGTAATACTTGAAATTACTGGTTGAGAATTATAGGACTGACTGGTCAAAAGGACACCTGTGTGTCCATAACTGGCAGGAGTTGGAGCAACTTTTGGTGTAAGAGACTGGGATGATGAAAAGAGTGGTTCTTGCTTGATCTGAGATTTAGATACTGATTGCTGAAACTCTATATCACCAGCACTAGCCGGAGGAATCTGACTAATTTTGGCTCTCATCCGGTGTGGTCCTTCAATTTTCTGACCAGAATAACTCAGAACAACAACACCTTCAGATGTATTAACCCTTAGGCCAGGACTAGTACCTGTATGATAAGGAGTGGGTTCAAGAACTGAGCGCCCTCTGGTAACCTCTTCTACTGGATCCACACCATGGCAGCGGTTGTTCTCATTGGAGTTGGATCTAAACTTTTGCTTTGGAAGAGGCAGACCACTGCTCCGGTTGCTAAGGGAAATTCTTGGAGTTTCTTCTGTATCATAAGGCATTGGGATTCTACTTATTACTGAGGTAGCAGGAGAAATGACAGTATGCTGTATTTTATCTCCACAGTTCTGTTGGGACTCTGTTAGTGGGGATGGTTTATGGTGCATGGGTTGGTGTGTCAATGGTGGGCGCTGTTCAGAATGTACCCGTCTTGAACCACTAGCATCAGCAGGATTATCATTTTCTGATGTTCGTGACAGATCTGATAGGGCAGATGTGACTACAGTGCTTGGTATAGAATTGCTGTTTGATGCAGACACATATTTGGGTTCCATTAGGATTTTTCTTAAGGTACTGGAACTAGGGTCAATATCAGAAGCCTTGGTGTCAGGAGGCATTGGGGGATTTGCTGAAGTGGTTCCGAGAGCAGTAGATGGAGTTAGAGTGGGGTTTACCACTGTGATGTGACACGAAGGATTGACATAGATTCTGCTTTCTTCAGATCTTTGTGGCCAGTCAGGTGGTAGTGGCATTTTAGCAGGTCGAAGCAGGGGTACGCTGAATTGGGAAACCGGTGGTGGGTGAGCAGGTATGAAGGTGGGAGTTCTTGACTCTGCTGCTTGGGGATGCTTTTTAGACACAGAGTTGTTGTTTGTACTAGAATGGAAAGCAGATTCTTTGGGTACAGGCTGTTCAACCTCAGGCTGTTCTGCCTCTTTGGGGTTGTCTACGGTTATAGCACTTGTAACAGCACGTCTACAAGTTGCAACAGCAGTAACAACAGAAGCTACTGCACTCACTCCAGCTGTAACAGTAGCTGCTTTTGAATCTGTGGTTTCTGGATCGTCTGGGATTGACTCAGGAAACTTTACAGGGGAGGGTTCAGACTGAGATGCCTCCTCATCAGTATCGCCTTTTTTGTTGGTGGCACCTTTACGATTTCTTGACTTCTTCGGGGTTTTGGCAGTAACTTTTATGATTTTCTTAGGCACATCGAGTGGAATGGGATCATCAGCTACTTTAGATTCTGTCATTGATCCCTTTGGGCTTGTTTGAGAGTCATCGTCTAGATTTCCTGCAATGATATTATTGATGACCATATGGGTTTCAGGTTCCATAATGTCATTTGAAGAGGAGGAGGAAGAAATGACAGATTCAGGGGTAGGGACAAGGGCAGTGTAAGTAGGAGGAGCTGTGAATCCATCTGCGTCCCCACAGATGTCGTCAGCTGTGATAGAATCAATAGCAGCTGCAAGTTCAGTTTCACTTGCAGGATTAGCTCGCTTTTCCTCCTCAACTTCACCTTCTGGTTCTACAATGATAGGGGGCAATACAGTAGGTTGACCAGAAGGTGGTTCTTTGTAGGGTCGTGGAGGTTGGTCAGCTGTAAGTTTGGCAATATTTTCAACTGCCTGCTCTAGTTCCATCTGTCGTGCTAAAAGAACAGCTGCTGGATGAACAGGAAGTTCAGGTTCTGACAAGGTGTCTTCATTTTCCTTTGAAATAAGCTCTTTATCTTTTGGAAATTCTGCCATCTGTGTTTCCTCATTCACTTGCACTGCTGCCTTGGTTTTTGAGAGGGTATTAACTTCAAAACTCTCAGACTCAACATCTTCAGAACAAAGTAAACCTTTTACATCATCAACGCTAACTCGGATTTCTAGATTTTTTAAACTATGGGATTTTTCTTCTAGGACCTGCTTGGTATTCCGTTTCAACCTTGGTGATTTAATTTTAATACTTTTTCCGGTCTGCTGTTTCTTCTCAGAGGAGATGGCATTTTTCTTTTCAATATTAGCATCCGCAGATATGTTTTCATCTGAATCTTTTAAATCTTTTTCCTTTCTGAGAACTACTGAGCTTGCATTTTCTGCTTTATCTAATGACTTGCCAAGTGCTTCAGAGTCAGCTTTAGGCTTAAGGTCTGCCTCATCATTACTTGTTAAATCAGGCTTATTGGCTAAAAATTTGCTTCCAGATAATTTATTAATTCTACTTCCTTTTTTGTTAACTGGAGCAGAAGTTAAAGGTGTTTGTTGGAGTTTTTGTGTACGGGGTGAACGCCATCCCTCAGAGACTTTTGCAACTTCAACAATACTTGATTCTTCTCTAACCTCTGTATCCATTTCGGCTACTTTTTTTTGATCTACTTTTAAAGGTGACACATTGTCAACTCGCTTAACACCTCTTTTAGGGGGGCGCCCTCGCCTAGTATTAGTAGAAATTTGAACTTCTGGGTGTATTTGGTCTTTATCAGCACCACGTTTACGCATGCAGCGTGATGACTCTGCTGCTTCTTTTCCAGCTTGTTCATCTTCGTGTAACGTGGCGTAGACTGACCTTACATTTCTTCTACGTGTTCTCCCATGAATTAAGCTTGACTCGAGGTTTTGTTCTGAATCTGATGCATGTATTGGGGACTTAGATGTGGTTTTGTACTCAAGCATTAGTTTAGGTGCCTCTCCCCGAGGAGATGATGTCTTCTTAAGTTTTTCCTTGTCAATTCGTTCGCTCTTTCGTGTTGCTGGTTTTTTAGGGCTGATAATTTGAGTTGGTTGTGTAGTACCCAACACAGACAGGGGTTTTCCTCTTTTTCCCTTAGGCTTTCTGCGGGTAGGCAATGGTTTTATTTCAGCCTCTAGTTCTGGCATACATGGTTCACTATCTGTTTCTGTTTTCTGTGGTTCTTTAGAAAGTTCTGTCTCCTGATTTTCAACTATAGGCTCTGTCTTTATCACTTCAGCCACTTCAGATTTTTCCTCAACTTTTGAGCAATCAGAGTCAGCTAATTCTACTGTCTCTTTTTTAAAGGCACTTAGGGAACCACAAGGAGAGGAAGGCTGATCTTCCACAACAGGGATATGTTCTTCTGCTGTTAAACTATCGACATATTCGGTTTGGGGTTCAATTACTTCTGCTTTGATTTCACTTTCCATTTCTGCTTCTGAAACTGTAGGTGTAGGAGTTATAATTACATTAGTGGTGGCTGATTTGAAGTCTTCCATAGGAAGAGAATGGGATGGAGAAATTTCAGGAACCAACTCCACTTTTTCATCTTTACTACATGACACTGACTGACCTGAAGACGGGGTTAAAACTTCCTTCTTTTCTGGTAGGGACGTTTCTTTGGGGGAAGGAATAAATGCTGAAACTGGTAATGGAGGGCTGGCGGATTTATCATTAGCCTTTGATGCTGGCTCTGATTCCTTATCAGACATAGCATTGTCACAGTTTGTAATTTCATCTTTTTTCATTTCCATCACTACTGAATCATTCTCAGACTCAGATGGGGGATGGTCCTTGTCCTTTTGCTGCTGAAACTCCAAAAACCGACTATGAAAAAGCACTATAGGTTCTTGTGGAATGTCAGTTCGTCCAGGTTCAGAATGTGTATCAGTAGCACTGGATTTTGTAAAAGTCCTGCTACTTCCAGTTTCTACATCTTGGTCTTTCTGCTCAAGTCGTTGCAATCGCCTTGAATCCTGTTCAAAGATTGAGCTGTGCAGGAAACGAGAGGCAAACAATTCCTGACGTTCTTGCTCCTGTGACTTGAGTTCCTCCTTTTTATCGTGCAACTTTTCAACCGAGTCAGTACGGATCTTTTTCTTTTTCAAATACCAAGAAGGTATAGGCCGGGGTGCTAGTTCTGCCTTGTCCTTGCCTGAACAACTGTGGGAGACAGGAAAACGTGATGGAAGAAAGGACCAATTGTCTTCCCTTGAGGAATACAAAGTCTTGGCTCTTTCAAGAAGTGCTTTTGTATCAGGAGTTATTGTTTTGTCTAAAGCAAATGAGTAAAACTTATTTTTTTCCAAAGAGCTTGAAAGCTTGAAGTCCGCTATCCTCTCCTCCCGATCCCTGAGGATAAAAGACATGGAACTACTTGACTTGGGAGAGCTGTGTTTGTTTTCTCCATCATCATCTGAATCAGACTGCACCTCTCCAGGTTCCAAATCCTGGCTAAGGCGTTTACGGATACGTTCACGTCTTGAAATATCACTAGAAAAATTAATTTCCATTCTAGGAGAACTAGGCTTTACCTGTCTTTCCCAATGTTGCATCAACTCATCATTAAATCTAAGCATGGATGCTTTAAGCTTTGGGAGTTCATTGTTAGAAGACTGAAAATGTTTGGCTGTAATGCTCAAACTATTTTTTAATGATTCTGGGGGTGTAAACTTTTCCTCCATTGCTGGAGAGAATTTTCTTTCTTTTTTAATGACCGATGAAGAAACCTGAACAGTTTCATCATCCTCATTCTCAGAAAACTGATTAGCTCCTATGGTAGATGGCAAATTGTAGACATCTTCATTCAACTTTTGTGAACTTGAGAAGTCACTGTCTCGTTTTATTTTGAGTATGTCAAAGTCAAAACTGTCCAATTTTTTACGTTTACTAGAAGAGAAGTCATCACTGACCACATCTTGAATTGATTTTCCAACATCATGCAAGATATATTCTTTTTCAAACTCAGTAGCATCATTGCTTGTTGATTTGACTGATTTATCAGGATCAGAAAGCTTGGACCGGAGCCATCGATTCTGTTCAATTTGTTTTGTACAGATGTTAGTCTTGTCGGTTCTCACAAAATGTTCATCTCCATCAGGGTCTCTGCACTTTGCTCTCCCATGTTCATTTTCAGACAAAACATGTTTTTGCTCTTTCAATTCATCCGTATCAAGACCGCTGTTATCTGAAATCTTTGTGTGAGTAAAGCTGTTTGCACTTTTTGAGCCTTCCAACTCAATTTTAAGAAAGGAAGTTTCCATCTGTGTTGTAGAATCTTCATGCAGTTCCCTCAGGTGAGATTGCTCCTCTAGAAGAAGGCCTACAGAATTGTTTTCAGAGTACCGACCATCTTTGGGACTACTAACAAAAATTGTGCGTACACATTTATCTTTGTGGTGTCTTTTTTGTAGACCTCGTATCAAAAGGTTCTTTTCCGAATCTGTCTCCTTTGCATTGTTCCACAGCATATAAAGTCCAGATCTACCAGAGTCCACTTCATTATCTCTCTTTTGCCGATCTGTTCTCCCAGAATCTTCAAAACGTCGTTTTCTTGCAGCTAAACGGTCAACATTCATGGAAGCAGCATTGTCAAATTCAATTTCAGATTTCACATGCTTTTTGGATTTGATTTTTCCATCTTTTTCAGTAATTTCTATTAGGCTGTGCATAGTTTTGTCTTTGGGAGCCTTCCCATGCTTGTCAGCTTTTGATGATTCTGAGCGGAATGGAGGACTTCTTTGGTCAGCTGTAGGTGATGCCAATCTAGGACTGTTACTCCCTGCTCTCTGTACTTGCTTTTCTTGAACAGCATGACCAACCAATTTGCCTTCTTTTTCTTTAACTCGTGTTAACTGCACCACACAAGGCAAAAGGTCCAGCCTTCCTTTGCTAGAGCTTTCTTTTGGGATTTTACTGCTCTCGCTTTGATGGATAGGCTCTGGGCTGAGATCTCTTTCAAGTTCAGGCTCTGTTTCACATGTCTGGATTGTAGGTGAGGTGACTTTAAGCTTTTTAAGCCTTTGTTTCTCACTTTTGTCTTTGTCCCCTCGATCTTTTCGCCCAGTTCGCTTATCCTTATCCACAACATTCTCTCTTTCAATTTCAAAACCTCGATCTTTCTCAAGTTTTTCAGTTTTACTGTATCTTTCAGACCGGGCCTTTTCCAATTTTTCAAATCTGGGCGGAGAGATTGAACTGCAGCTCCCACTTCTTTCAGAAGACCGACAACAAATGCGACGATCTGAATCACTTGGTATTCTCTCAGAAAGTGAGGGTGATGCTGTGGGGCTGACAAGACGACGAGTGGAAACATGGGAAGGACTCTGGCTACGCTCAAATGTCCTTCTTCCATGATCACGTCCACGATCTGTTTCAAAACGCTCCCTTTCTCGTTCCCGTTCTCGTTGCAAATAGCTGTATTTGCGAATGTCCTGCTCATAAGGATCAGCTCTGTATTCCCGATATTCTCGAGGTTCATCAAAGTATTGTGAATCGTAGTAATCTCCCTGATATGGGTCCCAGTCATTGTAAAACTCTCGATTTCTTGCAGGGTATTTGCGTCTTGGATCTTCACTATATGTTCCAGATGTTCGCACATTCTCATAATATTGTCTTTCTGTTTGAAACTCATACTGGTTTCGGCGATCATCCCTGCAAAGGATAAAGCAAAAATCATTTCAGTTTATGCAATAAACAGTACTGAAGTAAAGAAAAACAATTATTTAAAGAGAAGTACACAAACCTTCTTTCAGAAATAAAGTCATAAAAGTCTCGTATATCTTGCCCTGATGCCTGCATAGAGCGATAAAAGGCCATCTGACTTTCCTGATTTGCAAAGTCCACCTGAAGAAGGAAAAAAAAGAAAAAGTTGCAATATTACAGCCTACAGCTCCAGAACATGCCATAAGTGCAAAACTATATTTTACTTGCCTTAATTTTATTGCCCCCAATCTTCCATCCTTTTGTATCTTTTACTGCAGCTTGTGCATATTCAACATTGTTATAAAGAATAAGAGCAGTTCCTTTCATCCGGTCAAATACAACCTGCCAGCCACAGCAGAAAAGGAAGGGAGACTCCTTAGATATTAGAAAGTAACAATGGGCCACTGTGTGTGTGAGGGGAGGGGAGATAAACAAGCTTACCTTGACAACATGTCCATAGCGACAAAAATGACGAGTAAGAAACTGCTCAGTTGTGTTCGACACTAATCCATCCAACCAAACACATGTTGTAGGCATACTTTTTCCAAAACCCAGCTAAAATTGAACAAAAATGTTAGTAGATTTAAATAACTTCAACATACATCATAAATTATGCTATAGAAAAGGAAGAATGAGGTTGAAAATAAGGCTGAAATAAGTCTCACCTTTAGTCTGTTGTTACCAAGATACTCGCCATCCATCTTCTTTATAGCCTTGCAGACACTGGAAATGTCACAGTATTGCAGAAAAGCATACTGTGGGGCTCCATTTACCTTCTTAATGTCAATATCCTTTGGAAACAAAACAAAGAAAAAAAAATATTTGGTGAGCATTGATGGTAATCCTAAACTATTAAACCAATCAGTTGCTCCGAATAATCAGATTCTAAACCATCTAAAAGTTGTAGCTCACCACAATTTCCCCAAAGCGTTGAAAGATGTTAAGCAGGTCATGGTAAGTAGTAGTGTTTTCCAGGTTTCCGATGAATAACGTTCGAGTAGCTTTTGGATGAAACTCGTCAATCCTCTCATCCAAGGGTCGAAACTCATTTTCACTTTCCGTCTCTAAAAGATGAAGTGGTATGAGCATGCTGCTCTGATAATAGTCTCCGCCGTACAGTTGAAAATGAGAACTCACCAGGACCGTTCCAGGCCGTGACATCGATTTGCATTCCAAAAAAAAGCTTTCCCTTTGATGCTCCAAGTGCCTTCTCTTGGTCTTCTTGTTGGCGGAAAAAGACAAGCCCATAGCGGTCTTCTGAAGCTCCATGAATTTGTACTGATGTAACTTTTCCATGTTTCTTAAACTCATGAAACAAACCATCCTTTAGGCTTGTATCTGTAAAAGGTACAACAAAGGCAAAAGAAATCAAAAATGAGTTATTGAATGAACTGCCTGGCTATTATTATAAATGAACATCCTTCTTTCAAAATAAGAGAACCTCTTCAATAACTTTTGTCAGATTATATTACTTACCTGTAGAGCGCACAGGAAGATTTTGGACTTTAATGCCAAAACTTTTACGTGGTTCATCCTTGTCAAAAGAGGATAAAGAAAGCGCTGAGGGTGCAGGGACAGCAGCAGACTGCACTGAACGGGCCGGAGAGTCATCGCTTGAGCTACTGCTCGAGTCACTATAGCAAAAGAGGAGCATGGATTTAAATGATGAAGCAGGCTTCAAATGTATGACAAAAAAAGTGTTATTTTCTTGTTGGGGTCTTCATTGATTTAAGTACCTCTTGATGTATTTTCAACTCAATAAAGTCAGGATTTTAGATCATTTTAATAGTTTCAACAAACACCTAAATAAATCTCAAAGATTTATCTTTGTTCCTGAATGCTTATGCCGCACCCATAAGAAAGCATTCATACGCTAATTCAAAGGTGCCACAATCGGTTCTTCCAAAAATGCACAAAATGGCTAGATTGAGTTTATGAAAAGGTGAAGATACGTATGCACACGTTTTATAATAAATGCATAGATTTTTTTATCATAAAAGCTGCTGAAATGTGTCCTATTTATATTGTTCATTTTAAAAAATGATTTTCAGCTGAGCAGAAAAAAATACCCTCCTTTCTCATCCTCATTTCATATTTATGGAGCACATCTGGTAATGCCTGCAAAAAACTGCATGTTAGGCGAATTTATGCCTGCCTCATGCGCCGTCTCTCTCAAACGATTCCCATGTCTGTCTCAGCTTTCCAGCCCCTCTGCTGTTTGTTTCCTTCTCACTTTCTCCTCCTGAGCTCAGACGCTCCCGGAAGTGCTGCTGATGGAGCCTGGCCTGTGGGAGTGGGCAGGCAGCCAGCACTGGCCAGAAATTTCCAGTTCCAACTGGATCTCACGGAGGCGGGGGGGACGCAATTACCCGTACACAGAGGTAGGCAGTGAGAAAAATACAGCAGCCGTCTCCTGAAATCCCCCCCCCCCCCCACCCATCACAGCAGCATTTCCTCATCAAACCACATGCGTCGCTACATGTCGTTCAGAGCCGTGTCCGAAGGTGATGCAGTCAAACACAAAGCAAATAAAAACGAAAGGAAATGGAGATAAATAAAAAGGTATCTATGGAAGAAAAGTGCCACAAGTGGGCATGTTTAAAACTGGACAGTCCTCTTCCATTTGTGTGCTTTCATCTTTTGGCATTTTTTGTGTGCAAAATCCCAAATGAATATACGATCAGGTTTACTGCAAACGGGATTGCACTGAATACAAAAGGTTAAATTAGCAAGTCAAATTACAACCAACCTTATCAAATGGCCTGGCAAAAGTGAAAGTCTATGCTCGTGAAGGCCTATATGTTGCATTTTATTTTTTTTATTTTTTTTTTCAGGAAATCAAATCATCTTAATTACTTATACTAAACATTTAGAATGCTTGTTAAATTAATAACAATCAACCAAATTGGAACATTACACTTTTACAACAACCTTGTAAAATTTGTATCTGTCATTTGAATAATTCACTTTTGATTATAACAGAAGGGCAGAGAAACAAAGCAAAAAGAAGGGGTGTGTGTCATAAGTGGTATTCTTCTCAGGCTCGGTGTGTCCCAACATGTAAATTCATGAATTGATGGGTGGAAACTTGAAATACAGCCGTGTTAGAAACCCACCGTGGTGAGTCTGACCATTTATTGGATACATTATATCCAAAACCCAACCAACTACAAAAACAAACATCATTTGACATACTGAATAAAAAATGTTTTGTGCTCACATTACAAAGGTTTTTTTTTTTTATATAATATTGCAGACGAAACTGAGATCATCAAAATATGAGGGAATCTAACATCATGAAACTGATGCATACTACAGTGTCTGAAGTGTGCAATATTCGGTTCTACATATGAGTCACAACTAACCACTTGCTAAAATTAAGTTTTACACTTCTCTCACATCTTGTTAAAAAATGTGGCGCCAACTTGAAGTATGTTGCATAACTGCAATTACTTAGAAGACATTATTAATCATTGTTGGTGTTAAAATCTTGGTTCAGTGCCATGCATAGAAGTTGGTTTGGATTAAAAACACCAAGGAATTGGACACAAAAATGTAAACACAAGCAACCAACAAGTAGGGGTGTAAGAATATATGTATGTAACTGTATCAATTCTCAAAAGCACTGTTTTAATTTTAATTTAGGTTTAATGGATTGATGTTGCAAGAAGAAATGTGAAATACAAATGCTGCTCTCACTGTTGTTCAGTGTTCTTCTGTTTGCGTAAAAAAACAGAATTGAATCAGATGCTACTCATTCATAGCATGCTTTTATACGGAGTTTTCTTTTTATTAGAATTTTAAAGGTAGAATGTTTTGGAGAAAAAAAAGGCAACATGCTTTGCTTACAATTTATTGTGAGATATCATATTGTGACCCCTGTGCTGTGATATTTATTGTATTGCTGATTTCTTTCTGTTACACAGCCCTACAAACAAGAGAAGAAATGTTCACTCACCTGCCACTTGTACTGCTGCTGGTGCTGCTGACTGAGTCTGAACTGGAAGAGCGGCTCCGGGATCCTGACCCACTGTGGGAACGTGGGGGGCGGGTAGCCTGGCTCACCAGTTTCTGAGGAGAAGGATTTCGTGAATGTGTCGAGTGTGGAGACCGGCTACGACTGTGGCGGTACTGTCTGTCCCCGCGTCGTCCCCGATCCTCCCTGTACAGGTCCCTGTGAACCACACTGGCCAACGTAAACGGTTCTCTGGTGCGAGACTCGTAGCGAGGCTCTGGTGTCTCGAAGCGACAGGGGCTCCTACTGTGGGAGTGGTAGAATCCAGCCCCACTGGACGTAGATCCTCCACTTCCTCCCGTCGATCCCCCTGCGGATCCACCCGTTCCGGCGCTTCCAGCAACAGCGCTAACGATAGTTCCGCTGACTCCTGAAGGTACAGTTGCACCACTTCCACTGGTGGTACCAGAGCCACTTCCAGCACTGCTGAGAGTCCTCTCTCTTGCATCCCGATAATATTCCGTTTCATAGTGCCGCTGGCGGTCGAAACTGCTACCAGGACGCTCGTGATGTCCGTAGGCACTGTGATCATATGCCCGATCCCGACCTTCAGCAGTCCTAACAGACACGAAGAAGGAGTGGTTACACTTCAATCATTCAAGCTGAAATCAGACACTAAACAAATTTAACAGGAGTCGCGTGGGTTTATTGTAATTAGATACAGTGAAAGACGAAGTAAAAAGCTTGAGAAGGTTTAAGAGAGTTTTAGCAAAACTTCATTGAGCTACCTACTGGATAAAAATGGTGAAAATCAGGTTGTTCTTATTTTGACTTAGAAATTTAATTTATCAGCTTCCTATACCACTTTGAGTCTAAGCCTTTAATGCATTTTTATTAACTTTAAATTGACAACACAATTATTTAAAATGATTCTCATTGACAATATAAGTTTTTCAACAATCAAGAAAATACTAGGGTCACTGTTTAGACGAAACCTATTATTGTAAAAGAATCAAATTAGCCATTAAGCTAAGGTTTTTAAGTTGTCTGCAGTTTAACTCGAAGCTTAAACAGATTATACTACAGATTAGATTTTATCGAAGTAATGACAGAATATGTGCTCCAAGACTGTGCAAAATTTAGCAACTAAACATAAATAAATATTGAGGTATTTTATCTTTCATTTGAAATACACTGTTGAGGTTTTATTTTAGGTTTATGTCACACAGTTCGACACCACTTGTTTTTCTAAAATCCAAAACCTCTTTGTCAAGATTTACATTAGAAATTGTTCTAATGGGAACATTCTGTTCTTCTCTCTAAATACAGCAGTCAGAGTTTAATTTGGTAAAACCACTGCTGAGTCACTTCAACAGTCATATTACCAAACACACCATAATGAGCGGGACAGGACAGCAATTACTGCTGTTTGAATTTAGATCAAATTATAATCAACAAATTAGCTGTTGTGTTCCAACACTGGGACAAACACGATTTAATACAAACACACTTACACTCCTCATTACAATGCTACTTTAATGCAGAGGCTCTTTAGTTCTTCCTTTTCTTTTCTTTTTTTTTTTTTTCGTTATATGAGGTGGTTAAAAAATTTAATTTGATTCTATAAGGAAAAAACAAAACACATCTGTCCTATGGGTTACATCTTCAATAATCTTGTACAAGACGCACAATTGAAAAAATAAATAAAAATAGTAAATGCATAATCCTGAAATTGACATTTCATTAACCAATACTTTTCCATGTTATTTGTATCTTAAAGCCAATGCAAATTGTTTTAATGTGGTATTAATGTTTGTATTTCCTTTGTATTTGACGCTCCTATAGAGGAACGTCTTCTGGAAGCCACACCTAAAGAAATTTGAATAGGGCAATCAGAATTTGCATGTGCAGCACTTTTTAGTGTTTCTATGGTTTTCAAAAAATAGTCCTGTGCTGTGAATATCATCTCACTATAAAACTAAGAATTTAGGCTCTATTTATGGATAGAAATAAAAGACTCAATATTTAATATTTACTCTTTTTTTTCTAGTCACCGCATTCTGCTTCATTCCTCATGGAAAGGTTATCTCTATCATTCTTGTAAATTATAGTTACTACAATAAAATCTGAACACGGAACATATGCCACAGATGGTTCCCTCATGTTGGCAGCATGGCATCGGGTCAAAGTCCAGTGGGTTTTTTTTATGAGTCTTCCTTTTTTTTTGGAACCAGTAAAGACAAACCAGTCTTCAGATCTGCTGTAGAATTTGTGTGTTGTGAGTATAATCTTAAATTATGCAGTGCAAAAGATGAAATGTTCTGAGCAAGCAGAAATTTGCTGTTTATTGATATTTGGGGGCAACTATTAACCAATGTTTATGCAGGGGTAGACATAAGGATATGGACAACCTGTTGACAAAACCTGGTTGTCCGCAAAACATTTCGGTTGTCCAAAAGAATCAAGAAAAATGTAATTTAACAAGTATATTGTTCTGTAGACAAAGTTTATTATATATAATTGTTCCTCATTCTCTTCTTTGATATAGAGTATTTAAGGCTCAGGGAGTAAAGCAGCAAAAATGTTGCTAATAAAATCTAGAGGTTAACCAACATTTATAAACTTTTTCTGCTCATAGGTCAAACATTTTCACTTAAATAGGAGTATACTGTGTACATGACCATATTAAAAGTTACAGTTTAGTGTTCTGTTCGGCTTTACCAAGTTTTTTCTCCCTTTCATTTTTACAAATGACGGACACCCGCGGCAGAGAACTTTAATCAAGGTCTTTTACTCTTTGTTGTCCACCGGACAACCAGGAGACAGGATCTGGTTGTAAGAAATGAAAATAGGTTGTCTCGGACAACCTAAACAATGGTTATGTCTACCCCTGTTTATGTACAAGGGCTCCAACAATTATGCATAAGAGTGCAAATAGACTGGACTATTTTTACACTTGCGGAGTAGATCTCTGTGGTACATCAGCACCACTTAGGGGCTGCGCTCACTGTAGCCAGTTTTATTGATTAGAGTGGAAGTGTAATGTTTGTAGCAGCAGGTCCAAAGTCCAGCATTTTCCTTTGATGGGTTCATCCCTCTGCTTTCTCCTCTTTTTACCTGGAAAATATTTACAATCTACAGAGACTTGTTTGGTAATAAAAACTAAGGCTTCTGTAAAGCGAGAAAACTGTCTTCTGCCTTTATTTGTTGGGATTATAATTTCAGGATTTTAGACTTTGGGATTAAAATGTTTAAAATATAGCATTTTTCTGTTTGTTGTTTAGGATTAAGAGAATTTTTAACCAGTTTTCAACCAGAAATTGATTCTTCCACATAAAATATGTCAGCCGCTAGATGGGATTTTACACAAATTTCAGTGGTTCAAATTTCAATTTTAGGAATGTATGTGCACATATTTATGAATTTATTATTTCCAAACAAAAGCTAACTGGTTCCTTGCACTCTTCTTTAGGGCTGCACCGATTAGTTGAAATAATCGATGACGTCGATTATGTAAATTTGTCGACGCAGATTTTTTATTATCGATTCGCTGTATTACATAACCACCACGTGAATGTTCATGCAATTCCAATTACATAACCACCACGTGAATGTTCATGCAATTCCATTTCGGTACTTAAAAGCATCATTGCGATCGTATTGGCATACGAGTGGTGAGTTTTTCATGCTTGTCCTAAATGCTTTATCGCGCAAGAGCGTAATGACGTCAGCAGCCGCTGCTTCAGTTCGGTCTAAGCTTGAAAGCCTTGCAGCTCCTGGAGTAAAACTCACCGAACAGATCTCCTCTGAATTATCTGGTGGATTAATTATCTTGTGAACATGACGTTCGCTTGCTCAAAGTAAATAAAGTACCGCCACTTTCTTTATTTCATCCACCATTAAACAGAGACCGGTGTCAGGTTGAGCCATGTTCCCAGTTTCCCCAGCGTCTCAAACAACAGAGGCGCTTCCTGACACACGTCTGACCTAAAGAGCACAAGCAGCCAACAAGTGTTGGACGTGTTCTGGATGTTCAAAATGTAGCTTAAATACCTTTTATTAATTTTAACTGCATCCTCTTTTGTTTATTTGATTTAAACTTATTTGCCTTCCATGGACCTTCATTACATAATTTTTCTAGTGGGGAACTGACATCAATAGAAACACGTGGAGCTGGATTTTAATTTGTTCAATAAGACAAAACAGTCTTGTTGTTTTCAACAGTTTTCACCTTAAAGAAATTAAACATCTGATGTTACAATACAAAGAGTTGGATGTTGTCTTGATATTTGTTAATTTTTATATATTGAGAAATATGTTTAATAAAAAATAATAAATAAATGTTTATTATAGTTTTTCCAGAGTGACTTGAATTTTGGATGATTTAGTTCATTTGTTAGATTGTTAACATCTTGTACTATGTTTCTTTTACTTGAATTTTATATGCTTTGGTTGAGATTTTATGATGATGTTAAATCTTTTAAGCTTTTTTTGTTAAAGAATTGACTCTAGAGTGCATATTTTGTGTCCATGAAAAAACTATTACAGAAAATATTACAATATTAAAGAACTGTTCTTCTTAATTTGATGAAAACATTTTAAATATCCAGTGCACTCACATCAGAATAACTTATAGATTTGTTGTTAGAATAATCGATTAATCGAAAAAATAATCATTAGATTAATCGATTAGAAAATAATCGTTTGGTACAGCACTACTCTTCTGTGTGCTGCTGCTAATTTTCCTCCATTGATAAAATAAATAAACATATTCCTCTATCACTGGTGCCCTGTGACATCCTAAAGAAGGGGTTGGTAAATGATTAGCGAGTTTCTTAAAAGGCTAAACTGACCTTTACACCCGGCACCTACATTTTACTGCCGGCATTCTGAAGACTTTGGCTGACTTCAAAGATCACTCAAGACTCACCTTCGGTATTAAAAACATTCAACCTTCCCAACTGTCATCTGTGATGTGGGCAAACTGAAAATCTTTAGAATGAAATGTCTGATTTTAAAATAAAATAGCTTTGCATTAACTCTGGTTTTTAAAAGCCATGTGAACAAAAGACCGTATGAATTTTATAAACAGGCCCAAAGGTTGAAGGTAAACTGGTTTATGGGACTCAAATCACATCTTTTTTTCTGCACTAAACATAAAAGCAACACCGGGTCAGGCGCCAACTCTGCTTTAGCTAATTTGATTCAGTCGTCTGTATGCTGGATTCATGAATAACATCTATAGCATGTCTGCTGTGAAAATGATGGATTACCTTGACCCCTAGATGCTCTCCAAAATGCTAATTTGGTGACGCAGGCTCAGTAGATACCCTTCAATTTCACTTCACACAAATCTGGCTCTACATTATTCATAGAGCTTAAAAATAATTCAGTCAGACCGTTTTTGGGAGGGGTAGAATTTCCATCAGTGTGTGTGATTATTAGACTACGCTGGTGCATGCTAAGCACATCGACTGTTTTGGGATTACGTGAGCAGCATATTTATGAGGATGCATTCCAGCAGCATGATAAAAAGGAGCCTTATATACATAGAATAGGTCATTTTGAAGGAATCATGTCATCAAAGTATTGTTCATAGTTAATGGCAAAAGATGTGTCAGCCATGACTAACCTAGTATCATGTTGCCCTCATAGAAATACAGACTATAATGGTAAGACTTTACGGTATAACTTAAATAAACACAACATGAGTTAGTATTTTCTCTTGAAACTCAACTGAAACGTATTTGGAAACAAGCCAACCAAAAGGGGTGCTTGTTTTACGCTAATTGGGTAAACGAACTCTAAATCAGTGTAATTTCTTATTTTTGCATGATAGAAAAGTTGTGATGACTTCCAACGTTAACCGTAGACATAAAACGTGGAACTAAGTGGATTAAAAAAACAGTATAAAATGGTAAAAGAAAATATTGGAGGTGATGTTTTTATTTGTTGCATTTTATAATTATAAGTTGCCACCCAAAAACCTGTCTTGAACAGCTTCTATCTTTTTAGTTTATCCAATAAAAGGGGGGAAACATCATCTTAAAATCATTGCTACATTGTGAAAGATATTCATTGTGAAACAGTTCCGCCCATTTTTGATTGATCTAAATAAACAGGTTGCTTAAAAAAGTAAGTAATTTTATTTCGGTGCATCAGTAATTTCCCAAACCATAACATCTGTTGTTTACTCACTTTTGCCCAATAAAATTATGACACTTTATTTAAAATTAGCTACAACGACGACCAAAAAGTTTTCATTTTTTAGCAAACTTTTAAGATTTTATTACTAATGAAGGATAAAATTAAGCTATATTAAAATCTGACAAAAATTGAAAATAGTAAGCTATTTAGATATTTAAATTTTTAGAAACAAATCACAATATGTTTATTTAGATACTTAATCTTAAATGTACTGTGGGGGAAAAAAGACTAAAAACTGCTTTAAAGTTCAATATTTTAGTCATTTTAAGTATTATTTGTACACAGCTGCATTATAGATCTATTAAACAAAGAAAAGCAGGAGAGACGAGAGTGGGGTAAAGTAATAGGAACGGGGGAAAAAAGAACAAAACAAGGTAAAATGCAAATTTCTGCATGTAAACATGTAGGTAGCAGTAGATCTATGAACCAGCTACTTTGGTTAGTGAGGAAAATGGAGAGAGACAAGGGTTCAAACTAGGGGGGTTAGAGAGGACAGCTAAAATATACAGGGCAGGACATACCAACCTTTTGAGAGAGTGGTAACTTGAACTCTAATTCCAAATACAATTTAGGGAGATAGAACTTTGTGAGCAAAAACTGGGCAAAAAAATGTAGAGTGGAGGAGGGAATCGAAAAAGAATCTGAGGCACAATCAGGTTTCAATCCTCATCTTTGGGGCTGCTGGGAACTCATCTCCTCAGGTGAGCTGGACTGTCCACCTTTGATAATGAACTTGATCAAAAGTTGAATGCCTGCGTTTACATATCCATTAACGAGAAAAAGTTGTCCTTGAGTCCAGAAAAAATAATGAAATCCATGAGGGCATATTGAATGTGACAATCCTTCAACAGTACAGCAAAAATGAAAAAATAAAGTCCCACCAAGTCTTTGGAGAAGTTCTGAATATCCACCATAACGAGATTGTTTACATCCATAAAACAGTCAAAGTCTTTTTGTACGGCGATGGTAATCTGACCATGTAGCTCAGTCCGTGCAACAGTAATCCAGATTTATGTTCATGGTAGAGTGGTTTTCATTCCATAACAGTCCTGAATCTCGATGTTCATGTCTGTTGATTATCCACCATGTTGAATTCTGTCAAACTTTCAACAGAAACGCAGTTCAGGTCCAACATAGTTCTCTGGTTCGGTAACTGTATCCATGGTTTAGTTATAGCTCCACAACCAGAAATGAGACGTATTAATCCACAAACACATGGTAGTTTTATCTCCAATAAGCTTTCCGATCACAATGTTACAGCACGGTTCTCAGATTTGTACGATCCAAATGTAGTCCCTTGGTCCTCAGTAAAAATAATCTCCACCAAAAAATAAAATAAAAAATCGGGACAAAAAAAGTATTTTGCTCACTTGTTTTATTGTCTCTACTGAAGTGGACCATCAGTAGAGGTCTCCCAATGCTCAATTTGCAATGCCCTGATAGATAGATATAATCCCAAATCAAACAAACAAAAACAATAAATAAAAAGGGGAAAAAAAGCAACCCATACCTTTAGCATGAAGGCATATTCTTCATGCGTCTGACCGTTATTAATCCAACAGTAGGGAATAAATATCCTTCGTAGATTATCCACGACTCCAACCAGCGAAGTGAAGTGAGCACCTCCACAAGGAGGGCGGGATAAAAGAAACCAAACCAGACTAATCCAAACAATGGTGTCGGATACATGCGATGTGTGTTGGTGTCTTGGTTGGTGTGTTACATGGGGAAGAATGGGTGAAATTAATCCATCAAACAGGGCACGTAATTCCAGATTAGGGGAATCCCAGGGACGGCCGCTGGACCACTCTCTCTCTCTTTAACTCCCTTTTTTAAGTCTCCCTCTCCAGCAGTGTCCAATAATCCTGGGAAATTTTACGATATCCAATCTTTGACCCGTATTTTCCACAATTGAGATATCCACCTCACAGAGATGTTCAAGACCACAAAGATAATCCCCAACAGCCGTTTAAACTTCTGACTACGGTACTTGGTTAAGTAACAAATACCATTATGTAAAAACATGTTTTTTTTATTTAAAAAATACATCAATCTCTTCTTGTAAACTCTAAAAACCTCAGAATGGATCCCTATAGAATTTAATACCTGCACCTTGTTCTACACTATAACACCCCCCCACCCCAAATAAGCAAATGAAGAGATGGTGGAAAGATCTTTAGAGCAAAGGTGTTTACCTTAAACCACGGTTTGCCCTGCCTTCAGAGAATAGTTCTCCACTTACCCGTCTAGCCTGCGTTCATAGCGTCCATCTCTGCTGTGAAGCGACGTGGGGGCCCCATACACAGCGCCCCCAGTCGCCCTTGTGAACCCTGATACATCCCGGCCTCGAGAGCCTAAGGACAGACTATCGTCCAGACCCCTGGCTGCACTAGGAATTGTTCCTGGTTCATTGTAATCAGTGCGCAGGTCTCTGTCCCCCATCTTGTTGATAGCATTATGAGCCTTTTGAGCACTTTTAATGTCCACAAAATCCACAAAGGCTGCAACTCCTCCTTCTGAGCCTCGCTTGGGCAGGACCTTGACGCTCTCCACTCGTCCATATCTACAACACAAAACAAAAAGGAAACACGTGGTGATCACCAGGCTTGCAAATGCAAAATGTTCTTATCGTGCTAGAGGATCTGACATGTTCAACTGTCCATGCTTTTAATAACAGCTTATTGGTTGGATCACAGAAGTGGGCATGTTTTGCAAAACCTCAAAGTGCAGATATCAAATGCCCATGTCAGGGCGTGTATGTGTGTTTGAAAGCGTGGGAGGTAAGGTGGTTTGGTTACTCTGTGCTTTGTTCTTTCAAGGCAACAGTAACCCAGCAACTAGACCTGAACCTTGGAACATGTTAATAAATGCATATTCACTCAAAAAAAAAAAAGGACAGAAAAAAACCCCACCACATAATTGATGGACTGAATTTATTTATTTGTCCACATGAATGTACAGTGTTTAAGTTAGGTAAATTAAAAACATGCAGGTGAATGGACACATTTAAACAAGTAAACCCAATTTAATTTAGTCAATCTAACATTCGTCTTTGTTGTTGTTTTGCTGCATTGTCAAAATTGGCAAAGGAAAAAGTGCTTCAATCAGATTTCTGGAAAATAAGGAATTTTATTTCCCACATATTTCCTCAAGTGATGGATTGATTAACAAAATAAAAGCATATATATATAT